TTCAATCAACGTTTGACAGTGAGAGTCAACAAGGAGTGAATTAAATTTTCAGCATGAATTTCCATAGATATAACAAGATTTATATTTTCCCTAACAGCCTACGCAAATGCAAAAGGATTATTTAAACTAATAAATGAATTCTGCTATCAAAGACTTATATGCTAAGCACGTCCAGGCAGAGGGCAAACGTGATGCAGAGAAATTCAAAATTCAAAATCTAATTTGAAAAAAGAAGAAGAAGAAGAAGAGAAAAGGATGTGGACTGGGTTGTTATCAGTCATGACTCAAAATCAGAAAAGACAACCGACCCAATTTGCATAACAATAACATAAAGACAACCAAATTGTTCTGCCTTCATTATTAAAGAGACATTAAAAAAAAAATTGAAACAAGAGATTAAATGATCGACATTTGGTACCTGAAAACATGTGATAAAAAATACTATTATATGAATAAAGAAGTAAACAACAACAATAAAATCTTTTTCAACTAGTACCCAAGGAATATAGATACAACAGTAATTAAGAAAAGACAAAATGAAGAAACTTACCACTTGGGAGTAATAACAACAAAACTTGAGGAAGCTTCTATAAAGCCTCTACTCAATCACTGTAAACAGGAATGAATGACTTAGGCATATCTTTGACCAACAATTAACAATTAGATTTACTAGCTGCGAGCTCTTCTGTATGAGAAAAAATCATTTTAATATATGCCAAGTAATAGGGAAAACAGGATTGCTAGATAACATGATATCTCGGCCTTTTCTTTGCCCTTCTTATTAGTTAGGACACTAGTACCACCCTTTTCTCATGTAATAATTATTAGCTTCCCATTATTTTGTTTCAAAATTAGGAGAACAAAAGTGAATAATAAAAAAGAAGATAACAAAAAAGAAATACAAGCAAAAATGATTAACTTCTCTTTATGAAACAAAATATCTAAACATGCAAACTGATACATAAATGTATCTAACTTAAGCACCATGCTTGCCTTTTGATTCAGTTTCTAACGCACCCCTTCCATTAGGAATGAATTTGAATATCAATAATCTGTGCTGCTGGTCTGCACTATACCCAAGTAACTCCACCGAATATGGAGAGCGCAACTGCTTAGCATATCCACCTCCAATCAAATTAAAAGAAAAAGAAACAAGAAATTTGTCAGCAAGTGTCCACATCCCCATGTGCAACATTTGAATACAGCTTATAATATGAATTGTATATATAAGAGATTAAGGACTCGCGATTGAAAAATCATAATCATAGATGATTTATAATGTTAGGTTATTTGTGAAACATTTACTACGTTTGTGCCATAACCATGTTTCTTTGCATTCTCAATGTAACTAATGGGTTAGATATTCTAGCACGAGTGCCTCGAAATCAAAGTAAATACAGAACGACTGCTTGGCTATACACTGATAATAACTAATGCTGGATTATCTAATTGATTTCTACTAATCAAAACGGGCGAGTATCTATTTTAGGCACCTGCTTTTTCCCCAATATTCATATAAGAGATATGTCTATGATCTATCTATACCTTCAGAGAAATAAGTCCCCGGTAGCAGGCTGTAACCTCTAATTTTAATTTTACTTATTTTAGTGAAAGAATCCAACTCGCTTATTAGGGGATATGAACAAAAACACGTGAATAGTTGAATTCATTGCATAAAGCTGTTGCCTCAGTTGAAGAGGGTGTAAGGTTAGAGTCCTAATAGCAGCTTCGGATTCATGATCTCTAACCATCATCAGGTTTTTCCACAAAACATATTGATAAATAAATGAAACAGAGTCTTCTAATTGATAATCAACTCAAACCCGAAATAACAAAGTTTCAACTGCCTTCTCCATTCCCCAATCGCCTATCCTAAATTTCTAAGTCTCGCTGTTCTTCATAAAACCCTTGTTGGCATGTGAATCAATTCTTATCTAAACCCCACTTCTTCCCCTACCATAAGAAAATCTTCGCGTTGTGTTATCCAGAGAATTAAACCCCAACTCATCTACTTATGCTTCACTCTCATCATAACAAGACTGAAGATTTATAGCCTCCCCCGAATTGAAATTGAAAATCTATCACCAAGATAGTCATCATAACAGAATAGTATCGCAAGATCTTGAATTCGCAAGGAAAAGAAGAACAGAGTTAGAAGGTGAACGAACATTGAGATCATCGCCGATGGAGTCGTTCTCCTTGTTGGCCCTCGGAGATCCCTATTTAACAGCTCCTCCTTGTCGTCTTGCAAAGGAGAGAAATACTACAGTACTGGAGACACAGCTCCTGCAACCTTCGTTCGCTGTGGAGATAAGAGGAAGAGACGGCAGACTGCAAGCGTTAGTTATGGTCACTAGGGTTTGTTTGGTTGGAGGTGAGGGGAGGGGAGGGGAGGGGAGGGGAGGGCTCCTCTCATTTGGTTAAAAATTTTGGACGGGAGGAGAGTTAAAATGTTGCCTCCCCTTCCTCTTCTCATTTTAGCTCCCTTCTAAATTGGAAGTTTTTGGAGGGGAGTCAAATTTTTGAACTATTATGTCCTTATAGATTTTTTAATATTCCACTTCTACTCATAAAATATATTATTATAATATTTATTTCAAATAAAAATATATTATCCTAAGTAAAAAAATAAAAAATATATACATTATTATAATTAAAAATATATTATAAAAAATTATTTAAAAATAAAAAATTATAATATTATAAAATTAATTGTTTTTTATAAATATATTTTAAAGCTGGAAAAAAAGATAGCCTAAAGAGAATAAAATTTCATTTTTCTTAGAGAATATAAAATTTGTTAATTTGATTATTTTAAATATATTATTATATTAATTAGAATAAAAAATTACTGTACCAATTTTTTAATACACATATTAACATGATAAGACTGAATTTTTATTAAATTATATGATTTAAATTAAGATATAAATTAATTTATATAATATATCAATAAAAAACATAAACTAATATGTAAGGGTAAAATGGTAAATTGATTATTACTATCCCTCCCCTCTTCTCCTTGAACCAAACAAAGGATCATTAAATATCTTTCCCTTCTCTCCTTTTTAATCAAACCAAATAAGGTGAGGATGAAACCTCCCCTCCCCTCCCCTCCCCTCAAACCAAACAGGCCCCGAGGGGAGCAGTGGAGATGGGAGGAAGAGGTGCTGCAGGAATGAAAATGAGAAGGGAGGGAGATGTTCGCGAGTTGCTATTAACTAGGGTAATTTTTTTTTTGAAAAAAATTTAGACCCCTTCTGGTCTGTTGACGAGAAGGTGCCTGTTCTCGTCTATTTCATTAGTAATAGACGAGAACTCGTCTGTTACTAATCGAAGAGATGAGAAGCTCTATGTTCTCGTCAACAGACGAGATCATGGAACTTATTCTTGTTTGTTTTGCTCAAACAGACAAAAATGCTTATTTTTTCTCTTTTGTTTTTATAAACAGACATGAATGAGGAGGTAAAAAGTATATTTTCTTGTAGTTAGTTGAATAGTCTTCAGGGTTGTGAAAATTAGAAGATATAATAAATATATTTATATTTCATCATCTTATTTTAAAGAATACATTCACTGGGTTCTTATTAAGTGAAAGATGGAATTTATTGGGCTACTAAACTAAACCATAAATGGGATGTTGCAATTGTTTTATGTATGTTTTTTTTAAAACAATTTGATATGGCGAATCCTCTTAAGTATTTTCTACTCCTGTGGAATTATGTGAAAGCATCGTCGAGAACTCAGTTTGTGAAAGTAACATCACACCATCGGAATAATAAATTAATACTTTACCGGCAATGTTATTTACAAATATTGTTTTCTGAATGTTGACCTGTCCATTTTATCATTACCCTAATAATATTCTCATCACCCAGTTAATTAGCCATATTCAATCCAAAGAAGTAGGCTGTATTTCTTTTGGCCGATTCTGACCAATTCAACCTCTGTATTTTTTCCCCCCCGAAACGAAAATTTGCAAAAGAGGGAAAACATATTATAAGTGGTAAAGTTTCACTAACATCGTTTACCTAATGATACATATTAGTACATAGGTTTGTATATATAATTTTTAGAATTCTTGGAGTTTATTTCCATGTTTATGCTAGTAACAATTCAAACAATAACTTAGTTATATATACATAGAGAGAGAGAGAGAGAGAGAGATGACTTGTGATTAATACGGATCTATGGATAGAGGCATACAATGGGTCAATGATCACCTTTTCTCATGGGTCGATTTTTCTGCATTTGACATGCAATAATGCGTAATATTATTAAACGTCTTGCCGAGAAAGCGAACTTTGAATATTAAATTACCTGATTAACTAAATTAGCACTTGCGTCACACTAGTGTTCGTAAATTATATTAATGCATACGTTAGATATATTATTTTATTTATCATTTTTAACATTCTAAGCGAGCCGAGGTATTATTAAGTACTATTTGTTATTTTATATCAAATCCTTTACTTATGGAAAGCTTGGAATACACGGCAATAATCAAGTTGTATTTATTAGAATCTTATGACCGTGGAAGGACTGTATGTAATATTAAACATCTTTAGTTTTCAACTGTTTTTTTTATTATAAGTATACTTAATTAGACTACTCTATATATAATCAATTAGATATAGTTTTCTACTTTAGTTGATCACCAACATCCATTTCCAAAATTATGAATATAATAAGATCAACTAATAAGGGAAAGCCAGGGTTGTACTCCTCTCTCATCAATGAAAACTCAAGCACACACGAAAGTACGTAGATATAGGAACAACAATACTTTCTTCTTCTTCTTCTTCTGTTACATCTGTGTTTTCTCTTTTGGCAGGGAGACAACATTTTTTTAGAAATTGAAATTTAAATGACACTAATTAACAAAGCATACCAGAGGATACAAACGCACTGACGCACCACCAACTACAATAATCTTGAAAAACCTCTGCAAACGTTAACTTCGCAATGGCTCAAGAACACACCCATTGATTGAGATCATATCAAGCAAAAGCTGTTTCCGTTTCTGCTCCTCTTATCCGATGCTTTTTTATCTTTACTAGCCAGATAACCAAGAGGGTTATGATGTACAAACTAATGAGTAAAAGCAATCCTTTCCAAATGAAACTGGCTATGCTAGACGCCAAATCAGTGAGCGTAAACCAAGGTTTTTGTGGAGTGATCAGAAAGAGGGCGATAAAATAGGCACTTGCTAGGAATGTGAGAGCAGCACACATGGCTATACACAATATCCACATAACAAGTTTATTTTTGAGAGGAACTCCGCTTACTAGCAAAAGGGCAACGCAAAGAGACACAACAAAAGAGGTGGTATTGTAGATTATAAATAACTGAAAGAGATCTGGATTACGAGAAGCAAGCATAGCTTCTCCAGGACATGCATGCGGAGTAAAGTCGTGACGACTATCATAACCCTTGAATGGCAAGCAGCCTAGGGGACTTGATTCTATAAAAGCGATAAAATTTTTGTCTCCTTCATTGATGGTGCTGTTGGAACTGATTAATATACCCTGTTGAATCACATTTCCTGGAGGGTTAAATACAGCTTGAAAGGTTATGGTCGCCATGACAGTAGCCACAAGACTTAAATTTCCCCTCATATCTTCTAACCAATTATTGTCGCTATTATGACCGAACCATTTTCCCATACGCTTTAAAATATTTCTCCAAAACTTCTTCCGAGGTCTCACTTCTTGTTGGCCCACAACATTAGTATTAGTCGTCAGTGCTTCAGGAGTAGTGTTCATTTGTACATTTTCGCTTTTGACGCCAGGGTAGTTCATCAGTATAGCTTGTATTTCTAGGCACTTGAAGTCCTGCGGAATTCGCTGAAGAATATCGTGGGCAGTATAACCCATGCTGTTCTTCAAGTCTGACGCTTGTCTTATTTCAGGAATTGACATGAGGTACCTCACAGTCTAGACAATAATCATGTAAATATATAAATATTTTAAATGCTTTTGAGGTATAACAGTATAGATAAAAGATTAATTGAAATATAAGCGCTAATAGGGCATTCAAGTATATGCGGTCTGCATGAGATGTTAAAGTAAAGTAAACTCTTGCATTTGAAGTGGTTTACCAGGTATCAAGATCAAAGTTTTTTATCACAGAGCTCTCATTTAAATTTTGTTTTGAAAAAATTAGCGACTAGAATAATAATTGGTAGTTGGTCCCAGAGAATATTTGTCATGATCCTTCTTTCGTGATGCAAAATTTTAATTTAGTGCAGACTTTGTTTGCGTCCAGCTATATACATGTGAAACTCAAGCCAATTAATGTAGTGCAGAATTATATCATAAAATTAAGTCACAAATACCTCAACTTGCTTCAACATGACAGCCAAATGGAGAATAGTGTTCATTCCATCCAAGTCTCTCTCATTTAGGAGTTCGTAGGTGTCATCAATAGCCAACTCTATCAAAGCTTTCATGATCTGCAAGTGGTTGTACGCCACACACAAGTGAAAAATGGTCTTCCCTTTGTCAAGAATCCTCGAAGACTCTGGCTTTACTCTAATTAGCTCTTTCACAACCTCTGTTCTCCCTCTTATAACAGCGTAGTGCAAGGGAATTCTGCCTTCATGATCACGAACGAAGCACGCGTCGTCATAATACAGCAACAACTGCTTCACAACGTCGATGTGGCCTTCTGCAGAAGCTACATGGAGAGGTGTGCTTCGGAAGGAGTCAAGCTCAAGGGCTAGTTTGGGTTTGTGAGCAAGAAGGGCTTTGGTGAATTCAAGGTGGCCGAGTAAAGCTGATATGTGTAATGGCGTTTCAATAAGGATAGTTCGCGAGTTAATTCTGTGCAAGATTAATGGATCTTGCTGTATTAGCATGTTCAAAGTTGAAACGCTTCCTTCGTATGATGCCTCGTAAAGAACTCTCATTCTCTCATCGTCCTGATGATGATGAGCAGTTTCAATTTTCACGAGTTCCATCTCTCGCGGCATACTATTAGAATCTACTATTTGCTTTACACCAAGTTAAGAAGAATATACTTAGAAACGTAAGTTCACGATAACTCATTCTCCAATTTATATAGTTGCTGTTGATCTCTGGCCCCTCAATTTATTCCATTTGTATTTTACAATGTATATGTGAATTAACTAGCTTCTGCGTTATTTCAATCACATGGAATTAGTTTTCTTTCGGAGGACCTTTTTCTGTGGGCATGTTTGATCAATCCAGCATTCTTCGTTTGTCATTTAAAAAACAGATAGAAAGAGAGAGATAATTATTTAACCATACCTTCTTTCTCGTTAAGTACTTCTATATATAGTATTTCCGTGTTGTTTAGTTTGATATATTATTATCTTGTTTTTTTTTATAGTTCCTCTAGGCCAACATCTCACAATAATTAATTTGTCCGACACATCAGGTTGATGTCATATGCGCGTCCTTAAGATCAGTTAATAATTCCAAACGAAAGTAAATGGAAGGGCTAGAACAACAAGACTACTATAATTTTATGGTCTGACCCATCAGGATCAAGTTCTTTATGGGCCTTCCATCAGGAACAAGTTGGAGCTTAATAAGTTGAGAAGTTCGGCCAGAATTCGACGGCCTCCAATTGTACGCCACACGCAAATTATTATTAAAAACAGTATCCTCACATGCTGACTTGTACGGTTCAATAAAAGTTAAATACAATGACCCAGTTTAACGAAAAATGAATAATATAAAAACAGGAGAGATATAATTTAGTAGATGTGCATACAAATATGTACATTTATATATATGTGTGTGCTTATTGTAACATATAATGTTGTTAGATCCGATATGTTCCTTGTAATAGCTAAATTCTGACAAGTAATGTGTACGTGGCTTAGCCAACAATATGATGGGTTAAAGTGGATCTATGGATAGAGTATCCAGTTTTTCTGTTTTTTTTTTTCCCTCTGTTTTTTTTTTCGTTTTTTGTGACTATTTCAATTAATTTAACAAAATATTCTTTTAAAAAAAACACTAATGAAGTTAGATGGCTCAAACAAAAACCATACATCATACTCCTTCGGTCCTTAATATAAGAATAAGTTAACTAATTTAAGTAAATTAAAAAAATTAGTTAAGTAGGCTATTTGTAATAAATAAATATTGTCTTTTTTAAAATATCTTTGCTAATAATATATATTAGCTAGAATTACTATTTGATGAAACATTTAACATGTATAACTTTTACAAGTATTACCTTAAAAAAAAGAATAAACATAATAAACACTGGGGTCATATGTTTAGAATTAAATTGAATTTTAAACTGATTCTTATACTAAAGCTGGTCCTTATTATAAGACTTAGTTGACTAATTTGATAAAATTAAGAAAATTAGTTAAGTTAATTATTTATAATAAATATATTTTATTTTCTTTAAAATACTTTACTAAATATTATGTATTGACTAAAATTATCATTTAATAAAAAATTTAATATGTGCAACAATTATTGAGACTACTTTAGAAAAATAAATAAATATTAAAAACAAAATAAATCAGAATATTATATTTAAAATCAAATTAAAAATTAAACTAGCTTTTATATTAATCACATGTAAACTAAGGGGGGTAGCACAACACAAAAGGATCGATGGTCTCTATCTCATGGGCTGAGTTCTCGTGTCTCCATTAGACCAATTCAGATGTATATCTATTAAACGTCCCAAAAAATTAACGCTCGTCATTATATTACCCAATTGGGAGCCAAAAAAAAAAGATATTATTATTATTATATATTAAATCTTCCAATTATAGATAGCTTGGAATACAATAACTTGATATAATACTAACCATGTTTATACTTCAACTGTACATAATTAATTAAGTATAATGTTTTACTCTATTTGATCACCAGCATCAGTTCCCAAAATGATGAATATAACCAATAGTTATACTCCTCTCCCATCAACGAAAACTCAAGCACACGAAAGTAGATAGGAGCATTAATATTTCTTTTCTTTTCTCATCTTTTTCTTATCTTTATTGCAGATTTAAATTCAAATGACATTAATTAACAGAGCATCCCAGAAATAATAAAGCATGCAAATTAACCCTATTGCCTTCCACTACTAGAAGAACAAACCACAATAAATAACATCATCTTCGTGTTCGATTCAAGTATGAATTAAAAGGGGTACATCACGATCTAAACCAAAAAATAAAAACAAGTCGGTGTATTGCTGGGGTATAGAATCGATGGGCAAGAATTGAGTTCCCGTCTTCCCGAGATGTGAAAAGTCTAGCTAAAATATATATAGTCGATGTAACTGTATTAAGTATCAAAACAGAAAGGTCATGTTTACATGTTCTAATCGATCGAATGTCTTGGATTTAAGGAGCAAGTCCCAGTTAATATGGTCAAAGCGTAAGTTTTTTTTTTTTTTACACAACAAAATTTTTATTTCTCATTTGCATATAAAAAAACATATTGAAAAATAGGTTAAAGTATACTTTTAGTCCTTTAACTTTACACAAGGTTTTATTGTGGTTCATTAACTTTAAAAACTAAACTTTTAGTCCTCTAACCCTAAAACTATTAACAAGAAATGATAATATTGAGCTCTTGAATACCAATAAAATATTATTAAATGCAAACATATTAAATTTAATATTCAAAGCAAACATAATTGTTACAAAATGTTATCATTTAAGAGTAACAATTTTAGGATTAAAAGATTAAAAGTATACTTTTTAAAATTAAGGAACCAAACTGAAACTTTACGTAAAGTTAAAAAACTAAATGTATACTTTAGCCTAATACGGAACAAAAAAAACAGACCCCTGACAAAGAGATCCCTGCTGTCGCTAGCCCTAGACTTAAAATTGAAGGTTTTGAGTCACATGTCTTTCAAGACGAAAAAAGAAAAATAAATTCTAAGGAGTCATTCAAAACAAAGCCATGTAATAAAAGTTTTATTGATAAACTGTACCTCAAGTCGCTTCAACATAATAGCTAAGCGGAGAATGGTGTTGCCGGCGTCATCAGAGCTTGTGAAGTCGATAAGCTCGCCCATGACGGCAAGCTCCAGTTCCACCAAAGCTTGGAGGGTCTCCAAATGTTTCTACTTTATGCACAAGTGAAAAACAGTTTCTACATTAACACTATAACTCAGGGATTCTGGCTTCGCTTTTACCAACTCTCTCACAACCTCTATTCGATCTTCCTCTCATAACTGCACAGTGTAGAGGAATTCTTCCTTCTTCATCACGAACCAAGCATGCTTCGTCAAAAACTTGAAGTTCCTTCACAATAATGTAGACATGACCCTCCGCAGAAGCCAAATGGAGGACTGTGCTTCGACAAGAGTCCAACTCAAAGGCGAGTTTTGAGTTGTGCATGAGAAGGGCCCTTGTGAATTCAACATGATCTAGCAAGCTCGAACGTGTAAAGGAGTTTCACAGAAGGCAGTTCTTGAAATCTTGAAGAGGATTAACGGTTTTTGCTGCACCAATGAGTTCAAAATTGATACCCCCCCTCTAAGTGATGCCTCTTAAAGATCTCTCATTCTGCCGCTGCTATCACCTAAAGTTCTCATTTCTCTTGCACAAATGATTCGTTTATACGCTACTTATTATATATACGCGCACATTATTATGATGAAAAGTAACTTAGGTACTTATTATGGGAATTTCAACTCACTAAAACAAAAATTACAATGCTCTGACCATTATATACTTTAAGATTATAAAAAACAAATTTCACGATTACAACTGGATAATTAGAACAAGCAATACAGCTAGGGCCATGCAAGACCACGGGTTACGAAAGGATGAGATTTCTTCTCCAGCACAAAACATTTGACAATGAGATCGATAAACCTTATCGAATGAAGCAACGAAGTGGGTTAATTAAAGCTTGAAAGGTAATTGATATAACGGGTGATCACCAGACTCAGATTTCCTCGCATATCTTATACCCATTAATCATCCTTATATTTAAACCAAATTTCTATTTATTTTAAAATCTTTATGAAACAAGTTCTCTTCCAGCATTTTGGCACTTTGTTTCCAGTACTGGGCGCGTATGGGTTTTATCAATTCTCCTTTCATCCCTATTTTGAAGCCAAACGTTCATAAACATGACTTCTGCACAAACACATCTTAATTTGACAGAAAACTTTAATTAATCAGTAGATTGAGATGAAAATAATTTTAAATTATCAAAATATAATCTCATTACAAAGTACAAACTACTCCTCCAATCCTAAATATAAGATCCATTTTGTAGTGTAAATTATAGTACAAAATGGGTCTTATATTTATGACGGAGTATATAAGAGAAACGTATAACTATGATATACCATGAATTATTATCCTAAAAGCAACCCATGCCACTTGTGACCGGCGAGACAATAAATAGCGTTAGTTGAAATGTGATATATAAAGAAAAAGCATCAACTCTATCTAATTGCACATGTCAACGGCGTTCTGATGAGTCTGGCACATTTCTTCACGATCCAAATTATAAACCGCAGTGTGATTAACACAACAATCAGCACAAGCAATCGAGACCAGGCCCAAATTGAGGCTGCAAGGGTGCTCCAACCTGCTTTATTATTCCAAAGATGGCTTGGCATCAGCATACAAAGAGCAGTTAAGTAGGCAAGGGCTAGGGTTGTGAGAGTGATACACATGCCTATGGATAAAAGGCACATCAAAGCTTAGTTCTTCATAGGAACTCCACTCACAAGCAAGAGGGTGACGCTAAGTGATGAAATGAAAGAGACAGCGTTGTAAATTACAAACTCCAAAAACAGATCTTGGAAACTAAAAGATGAGACAGCTTCCCGAGGACAATAGGACACGTTGTTAGGAAGGAAAGTGCACTTTAGGGCTTCAATATTGGATGAGCCTTGAGATAAACCTTGTTGGATGAAGCCACCAGGTGGGTTTATCAATGATTGAAATCTTATGGCGGCTATAACAGTAGACACTAAACTCAAATTTCCCCTCATTTCTTCTACCCAGCCACCCTTGTGTTTGAACCAGCCACCAATCCATTTCAAAATCTTTATGAAGCAGTTTCTATTCTTCTCTCGAGTTTGAGGTTTTGGTCTTGCAACTTATGGTGACGAGTGTGAATGCGTGTGGATTCCGTTCTTCTCAATTCTAATTCCAGAATAGTCCATCAGCGTGACTTGTATTTTTGAGGTTTTGAAATCTTTTGGATTACGTTTAAGGATGTCATAGGCTGTAAGACCCATATCCTTCTTCAAGCTTGCCATTTCTAGTACATTTGGGATTGATAGGAGGTATCTTATAGTCTGAAATAATAAACTTACATGTTAGTATATTGTGGAAAGTGTCATATATGACTTCGGGGTGGTAGGAAAAAAAAAAGACCCAAAAATTCACGAAAAATATAACTCGTTCAGGTAAAAAGAAAACTCTTTATGTCAGGAAGGATATCATACCTCAACTTGCTTGGATGCGATTGCTAAATGGAAAACGGCGTTGCCCACTCCATCAAAAATTGCAAAGTTAAGAAGCTTCCCAGAAATGGCAACTTCCGATTGGAAGTGTTAAGAGATTATAGTTGAGTGTACTGGGCCGTAAGCCCAAGATACTTAGCCCATTATGGGTCCATGCATTGCATTATAAACGCCGGCAGTTTAATCAATAATATTCGCTTTGGTATTGTTCATCAAATCCAGATTGTCGTTATGCTCTTCTTCACATGGTACCAAGAGCCAGGTCCAGTGATTGAGTCCATGTCCAAGGCGAAAGTCGAAGCCCCAGTATCTCCTCACCTGTAGAAATCATTGCAGAGTTGCAACGCTGTCGTTTTAGAAACACCATCTGCAGAATGCAAAGTCAAGATCGCGATCTAACAGGGTTTCACAATTCCTTCTGAATCAATATTCATCTCGCCGTTTTCACAAAGCTACGGCCCACCCAGAACAGTACGCGAAACCGCCATTTCAATCATTTTACGGTTTCCTCATTGAAGTAAATCAAGAATCCGCTATCTATTGCCACAGCGACTCTGAAGATTTCAACAAGTTCGTGATTATCATCTGTTACGCAAGCGACTCGCTACAGCTTCCCAGATTTGTCCTCGTCTCACTAATCAAGTTTTGTAATCGGACTCAAGATCCTTCAAGAACTCGCTACAATGACAGAGAAAATGACCTCCAATGTTCCAGTGATCGACGCAAATCATCATCTTTTCTTACATCCATCCGATACCCAAGCGACCACTCTGGTTTCTCAAGTGCTTACTGGTTTCAATCTTTTCTTACAAAAGTCAAAAGTGTTTTTTTTTATAAAAAAAAAAACAGAGGCATTTTTGTTGGATTCGAAACTCTAAATCTCTAAATCACTTCCAATCCAACCAAAAAATGTCATATACTCAAAAGTCACTATATAAAGAAGATTTATAAATAAAAACATAATAAGTCAAATCACAACATATACATTAATTGTAGTGTTATATAAAGACTCAAAAGTCACAATAATAATGTAACGTGAAAGTATCTAGTACAAGTAAAATCACAAGGCCATTAGAAAGGACTGATTGAGATCAAAGTGAGTATTGACAGATACTTATGGGAAGAATCCATCGATCTTCTTCAAAATCCACAGTCTGGGAAGAATCCATCGCTCTTCTTCAAAATCCACAGTTCACAACTTGTTCCTTACAAATCCATAGTTTTCATGGTTTTGAAATGTAAACTACATATGAAGGAAAGGAGTATTTTAGAATTAGGAAAACAAATGAACTTACACTAGTGCAAACTACAATTTAAAACTTCAGCTTGAAAGTAATTTCAACTCATGGCCCAGAACCCATAATGTACAATTTCAATGCACAGCATAATTCATACGAGAAGGTTCAAGAATTAACAATAATCTCACTACCTTCACAGCTTGCATCTTGTGGCATCACAGCCAACTTGTTTGTCCAACTTAACAAGAGCTTGCAATTCATATATAGGCTCACTGCTGCAAACCCGTAGAGTATTGTGCTAACATTTCTTCAATCAACATTTGACACTGAAAGTCAAGAAGGAGTGAATTAAATTTTCAGCATGAATTTCCATAGATATAACAAGATTTATATTTTCCCTAACAGCCTACACACATGCAAAAGGATTATTTAAACTAATAAATGAATTCTGCTATCAGAGACTTATCAAAGACTTATATGCTAAGCATGTCCAGGCAGAGGGCAAACGTGATGCAGAGAAATTCAAAATTCAAAATCTAATTTGAAAAAAAAAAACAAGAAGAGAAAAGAAGGGGACTGGGTTGTTATCAGTTATGACTCAAAATCAGAAAAGACAACCGACCTAATTTGCATAACAATAACATAAAGACAACCAAATTGTTCTGCCTTCATAATCAAACAACAACACAAGCCTTATCCTACTAGGTGGGGTCGGCTACATGAATCGCACGACGCTATCATGCTCTATCAACAACCTAGTCCTTAGATATGTTGTTGACCAGGAAGTCTCGTTCAATGACCTCATTAAGTGTTCTTCTCAGTCTTCCTCTGTCCCTTTTTATGGGACTCTATATTGTTTGATCTACCCTCCTCACCGAGGCCTCCAATGGTCTTCTCTGCACATGTCCAAACTATCTTAAGCGATTTTCAATCATTTTCTCTTAGATAGGTGCCACATCGACTCTTGCTCTAATATTTTCATTTTGAATCCTATCTTTTCTTGTATGACCTCACATCCATCTCAACATCCTCATTTTTGCTACCCCAACTTTGTACTCTTTTTTCTCTTTATTGCCTAACATTCACTACCGTACAACATAGCTGATCTTATAGCAGTCCGAAAAAATTTTCTTTCAAGCTTCTCAGGTACCTTTTTATCACAAATAACTCCGGTAGCCTTCTTCCACTTTAACCAACCAGCTTGTATTCTATAAGAGACGTCTCTATCAATTTCCCTATTCTCATATATAATGGATCCTAGATATTTAAACTTTGATGCTTGAGGAATGATTTGATCCCCCATTTTCACCTTCGAATCCCTATTGTCTTGCCTCTCCCCAAAATTACAATGCATATATTCTGTTTTGTTCCTACTCAAACGGAAACCTTTCGACTCTAAAGTCCTTCTCCATAACTCCAATCTACTGTTAATCTCTTTTGATTCTGCCATGAGAACTATGTCATCTGTGAAGAGCATGGATTTAGGGATTCTTTTTTGAATAGTTTCAGTTAGAACATCCAGAGCAATATTAAACAAGTATGGACTCAAAGAAGATCCCTGATGTAGGCTAATCTTAATGGGGAAGTCCTTTGTCTTACCTCCAGGCGTTCTTACACTAGTAGTTGCCCCCTCATACATATCTTGTATGGTGTTGATATAAGCAACCCGTACACCTTTCTTTTCTAAAGCCTTCTACATTACTTCTCTTAGCACACGATCATAAACCTTTTCTAGGTTAATAAAAACCATATGTGAATCCCTTCTTTTACTCCTATATCTTTCCATTAACCCTCTTAGTAAATAGATAGCTTCTGATGTGGATCTTCCTGGCACATAGATAGCTTCCAATGTAGATCTCTCTGGTATAAATCCAATTAGTTTTCCGAAATAGAAGTCTCCAACCTTAACCTATATTCCATTACTTTTTCCCACAATTTCATTGTATGACTCATAAGTTTTATCCCTCTGTAGCTTGCACAGTTTTGAATGTCTCCTTTATTCTTGTAAATAGGAACTAAAATGCTTCTCCTCCAATCATCCTGTATATTTTTAGAGCGTAAAATTTTATTAAAAAGCTTGGTTAGCCACACCTCACCCTCATCGCTTAAACATTTCCAAACTTCAATAGGGATACCATCAAACCCAACGACTTTACTATTGTCCATTTTCTTGAGAGTTGCCTTAACTCTCTGATATGGATCCTATAGTAAAAAGCAAAATTTTGATCATCTTCGTTAATTAGCAAGTCTTGTAAGTCCTGAGTCGCATATAATTGCTTCCCTCATTAAACAACTTGTAAAAGTAAGCCTCCCATCTGTCCTTAATATCACTATTAGTAATTAGCACTTTACCATCTTCGTCTCTTATACACTTTACTTGGTCCAGATCTCTCTTTTTGCTTCACAATTGACAAACTCAATTATTTTTATATATTTTGATATCTTTTATATGGGTTTTGTCAACTTAATTGGTCCCTTTTTGCCTTAATTGATTGTTAATTGATTTAATATATTTTATTTTGAATTATTATTTTATAGGGGCAAAAATGTCATATTTTGGTTTAATTGTGACTAATTGATTTTTTTAGGACAATTAATGCTACCTTATCTTTGAATTTTTGCTTGCAAGTTTTTGGAAGATTTTGAAAAAGAAAAAAAAAGAAAAGAAACAAAAATAAAATATAATATAAAAAAAATAATTTAAGAAAAAGGGAGCAAAACGTTGCGTTTTGCTCCCCCAACCTAATATACTAATCTTCTTCATCTTAGGAGCTGGGCGGCGAAAGAAAAATTGAGAGAGGACAGGAGAGGCACAGCAGCGTGAACAGGGAGTGACGGCGGGAAGAAAGAAGGGGAGGTCCAGTGTGCGCGAGAGGGACTTTTGAACCATTCTTCGCTCCATATTCTTGAGTTTCGGCCAATTCCACCATCTTCCATCAATCCAATTCCACACCATCGCCACTTTCCTCCTCAATTACTTCCATCCTCAGTGCCACGCCGCGAGACAGGAAGCCCATTCATCATCATCATCGTCTCTTTTATCTTCGTTTGTGCTGTCTGTTATGGCTTTAATCGCTGAAGCATATGGTGGAGCTTCAGTGATGCAGGAGCTTGGCTAAATCCTTCTATTCTTTAGAGCAATGGTTATGCTTGAACTTAGAGTTTCAAAAGGGAGTTTCAACTCTTCTAATCTTTACTTCTTTATTGTAATTGTGATTTCTAGGTCTTAGAATGAATTTTATAATGTTTGAATGTGCTGTGATGATTTATATTTGTATTGAGATTGGTTGTAGCTGCTGGAATCTTTGATTAGCATTTAATATTATGCTGTGATTAGTTTTAATTTCTTTACATTGTACTAGATCAGACTATGTTTTGAAATTATTGTGAATATTCAGTGGTAATTCAAGGTGACTTGGTTATTGGACTAAAAATGTTAATTGCTTTTCCTTGATTCTTTTTGGCTAATTGTGCTGAAACAGTTTAATTGTGAGTAATTAATATACAAGGTGGCTTGGTGTTGATTATTCTAATTAAACCGAGTCTAAGGGGTGGCCCTTAGAGTCTTTTGAATTTAACTAACTCCCAAATTAATTGAAGTAATAATAGCCTAAATCATTGTACTAGAGAATTGCTCTTCCATTTGTTGTCGCTTGTTAATTCTCTTTGTTTATTTTATTCATATCCATTTTATAAACTAAAAATCCAAAAATTATTTACTCATTTTGCATCCTTTTAAAATTTTCCATTAAAAAGAAAATCAATTCCTTTTCAACTTAATTCTTTATTTTTAACACTTAGTCAAAAGTCCCTCTCGCGCACACTGGACCTCCCCTTCTTTCTTTCCGCCGTCACTCCCTGTTCACGCTGTTGTGCCTCTCGTGTCCTCTCTCAATTTTTCTTTTGCCGCCCAGCTCCTAAGATGAAGAAGATTAGTATATTAGGTTGGGGGAGCAAAACGCAACGTTTTGCTCCCTTTTTCTTAAATTATTATTTTTTATTTTTTTTCCCTTTCTTTTTTTTATTTTTATTTTTCAAAATCTTCCAAAAATTTGCAAGCAAAAATTCAAAAATAAGGTAGAATTAATTGTCCTAAAAAAAATCAATTAGTCACAATTAAACCAAAATATGACAATTTTGCCCCTATAAAATAATAATTCAAAATAAAATATATTAAATCAATTAACAATCAATTAAAGCAAAAAGAGACCAATTAAGTTGATAGCAATCTTGTAAACATTTCTTTCTCC